ATATGGAAAAGTTCAAGGGGTATGAATACTTTTGCAAACCACTGCAGACTGCACAATACATAAATTAAGCAAATGATGAAACAATGGTAAAAAAAAAAAGTGTTGGCATGCATTTTCAAGAAATCCATATTTATCTTATATTTGTCAAATGCATGTGAGCCATTTAGAGATTGGAGTGTATTCAAAACATCACTCTGTGAAATTTCAGAAAATGAAAATTGCTTTGAAGTGTCAGGATATTTAAATAACTTTAAACTATTAGCTTGTCCCGGTAATGATGTCCTTACTGAAGAAATAAAATATTCATTAAATAAGTTAGCATTTTTTTCATGATCGTGAGTGTGTGTTTTTGTCATTCATTCATCTGTGCGTCAGGGCTAAATCCACTAAAGAACAGTGAGAATTATTAGACAAGAGCAAATTGCATCTACATTATACTATATTATTAGCAAGTAAAATGCAGTTTACATGAAAGAGTACCTCTAATTTATTTTACGAAGGTCAGAGCAGCCAAGGCGTGTCTGTTTTCTCCCCTTATTTTCCTATGATGGAGGAAACTGTTGCTCTTTCCACCTCCGCATCCAGTTTATGCTGCAAGAGAACTTGCACCTCTGAAGACAGCTGAAAGTCAATCTGAGAGATGTGGGAAATCACGGGTTAGGAGTGGGAGTAGCCCTGGCAGGCCGTGGGAGAATGCAGCGAAGACTCACTGAAATTCATCATATGTTTATGATCACTACTGGAAAATGATTTATGTCAGGGTATGTTTATTTAAACTGCAGGGAGTTTAAATTTAAGAACATGGTGAACCAGGCGCTGTCGCCTTGTGGTTATGTCAATTGTTTTTCTTTACCTTTCTACACAGCAAAAGTATTTTGACTCTGGAGACTACAACATGGCAAAGGCCAAGATGAAGAACAAGCAGCTTCCTGTGGCAGGACCCGACAAGAACCTGGTGACTGGCGACCACATCCCCACGCCGCAGGATCTACCACAGAGGAAGTCGTCCTTGGTGACCAGCAAGCTAGCTGGCTAGCCTTCATCAACCCAAGAGCGCCCTCGACTCTCCCCTCCTCCCCTGGGTTCCCAGGAAAATGCCCCTCTTCCAGCTCGCCTGTTATCCCAATATTTCCACTCCTTTTGCTTCCTTTTATTTTCATCCCCAGGCACCACTGGCTTTAACATATCGGGCAGAGTTCGTATAAGTTAAAGCTCCCATTTGCTTCTATGTAGGCGAGGCGGGGTGGGAGGAATGGAGGTTTAGGTGGCCACAAGGCTGCAGCCCTCTCTGCCTTTCCACCTCGTACATCTTTGTCTCCTCTGCGCACTCTGCTCTGCCGCCTCCCTTATATCTAGTTTTGTTTGTCCAAAGACGCTTCACAGTGGGTGTGTGTCAGGAGGCAGGGTTGGTTGGGGTGAGTTATTGCACTTTGTATTCAATTCAGTTCAATTCAAAAATACTTTATTGATCCCAGAGGGAAATTTGGTATTGTTGTAACTCCTTTAACTAAGAACTTATTGTAGATGCTGATGGCTGTGGGCAGGAAAGATCTTCTGTAGCGTCTGTATTACAGCGAAGTTGAAGAAGCCTCCGACTGAAGACACTTTGTCTTTCTATGACAGTCTGATGAAGAAGATGGTCAGGGTTGTCCACAATGTGCTTGATTTTATGTAAAATCCTTCTTTGCACCATCATCTCCAGAGATTCCACAGTCGTCCCCAGAACAGAACCAGCCTTCTTTATCAGGTTGTTTAGCCTTTTTAGGTCCCTGGCTCTGATGCTGCTACCCCAACAGATGACGGCAGAAGAGATGAAGCTCTCAACAACAGACTTGTAGAAGATCTGCAGCATCTTGCTGCAGATATTGAAGGATCTCAGCTTCCTTAAGAAGTACAGTCTGCTTTGTCCTTTCTTGTAGACTGCTTCACTGTTGAGTCTCCAGTCCAGTCTGTTGTCCAGATGAACAACGAGGTATTTATATTCCTCAATCACCTCCACTTCTCCCATGATGGAAACAGGGTTTGATCTAGCACTATTTCTCCTGAAATCTACAATCATCTCCTTTGTTTTGTTCACATTCAAGATGAGATGATTGTTCCCACACCATGCCACAAAGCGGTCCACCAGCTCTCTGTATTCAGCTTCCTGTCCATCTCTGATACACCCAACAACTGCAGAGTCATCTGAGTATTTCTGTAGATGACAGCAGTCTGACTTGTGCTGGAAGTCTGAAGTGTACAGTGTGAACAGGAATGGTGAGAGTACAGTTCCCTGTGGTGCTCCTGTGCTGCTGACCACCTGGTTAGACACACAGTCCTTCAGTCTCACAAACTGTGGTCTGTTTGTCAGGTAGTCTTTGATCCAGGCGATTGTTGAGGCCTCCACCGGAGTCTTCTGGAGTTTCAGACAAAGTAAATCAGGCTGAATTGTGTTAAAAGCACTGGAGAAATCAAAGAACATGATCCTCACAGTGCTGCCTGCTTTGTCCAGATGACAGTGGGTTTGTTGAAGCAGGTGTATGATGGCATCGTCAACTCCAACTCCACGACGATAAGCAAACTGCAGGGGGTCCTGATGTGTGCTTGTTTGCTTACTCAGGTGGGTCAACAGGAGTCTCTCTAGGACCTTCATGATGTGGGATGTCAGGGCAACAGGTCTATAGTCATTGAGGGCTGATGGGTGAGTTTTCTTTGGTACTGGAACCAGACAGGATGTCTTCCACAACACTGGCACCTTCTCCTGGGTCAAGCTAAGGTTGAAGAGATGTTGCAGAATCCCACAGAGCTGGTCTGCACAGGCCTTCAGGACTCTGGGGCTGACACCATTCTGTATAGTATGTTGATTTCTCTTTTTGCATCCTTAATGACACCAAAATATGTGTATGGGAGTTAGGACCCATGGCCCCAATTACCTTAATTTTCATGTTTTGTTTTTTTCTGTTCCGATGGCTCGCTTCAGCAGGAGGTGGTAAAGCTGTATGTTAATAATTGCTTGCATACCAAATCTGTGAGGGATAGCTGTTTAGTTGAACAGTGTTTGTGTTATTTACTGACTCCCTTTTGGGAAAAAAATGGAGTGTACTTTTCATCTCATTCTTCAGTAACTTTTTATCAAAGTATAACCTGAGGTCAGCTGCTGCAGCTTAGGCAAATGGGATTTAAATTTGTCTTCGCTGGTGTCGTCTTACTCCTTTGGCTCTTATTGTCTTTAAATATGCTGCATGATTGTAACATTTAACAAACAACAAAAAAACACCCTAAACATGCTTTAAAAATTAGCAGGAACATCTGCTAACGAGAGATCTAAAAACACACAAATCCCCAAAGCGTCCACAGTCACACTTCCTGTCTGTGCATTTTGCTGTCCTGACAATCCATTCACACGCACATGCTCGCAGCTCCAGTGCAACAACCGGCTGACATCCTTGATTTTATTAATTTATTTTTTAAAGGCTGGGAGCTTTGGTATTTTCAGTCAGTTCATTGGCAGTTGCATTGCTTCAAAACGTTTGTTTACTATGAGCCTAAAAGATATATGGGGAGGTAGAAGCACCCCTTGCAGAGTTTATGCTTCTCACGCATGTAATTGGTGGCAGGCTCGGCGCTTTGAGGACAAGTCCAGATAGCACCCCTTGAGAACTTAGCAGCGCAGATATCATTTCAGCTGGGATTACATCCTGGGACTTCTTCTGCTTTAACTACTTGAGTAAATTCCACGTTCCAGCTATCGAGCCCAGAGGATGTGAATTCAGTTTTGTTTTTAGTTTTGATTCCTACTGCCTTCGATTCAAATGGCAGGCTAAGTTTCTAGCCATTAAAGGTGATCTCCACAGCTCAGATTCTGTTTGTGGGACCCAACAGAGTTGGTCTTTCTTCCACTTTTAAAGACTTCTGAATATATCTGACATATTGTTTTCTTTGACATCTTAAACTACTTTAAAACAATAAACATAAAAAACACTAATTTTATTTTACTCCAGTAATGATATCTGCTACCAGCACCTCGATGTTTGCGCCCACCAAACCCCAAACTGACCCTTGACAAACCTTTATTCTCAGGGGGTGCCTGTATGTAAACAGCAGGCAACCTAAAAGAGCAGCTTTGGGCATGCTCCGTGTCTGTAGGAGCACACGTCAGCAGAGCAGAGAGAGGTTTTATTAGTGGTGAAAGGGGGCAAAGTGTGAGTATGAGCTCAAGCCCCACCTGTAACTGTGAGTCAACCTGTAAGAACAGGTCAGAGCGATCCCACACCTCCAGACTTTGAATGTTCACCCTTCACACCCATTAAGGATCTGAACTGGATGCTTGCGCTCATTGGGGATAAGTGTCTAAAACTGCTTCAGGGAACCTTCACAGACTGAACACTCCACCTAGGTTAAATGATGGATCATTTACACCACAACTACATTTTGCAACCTCACTTTAAAACGTGTCAAATTTGCAGTGAATGAAAGAGAGGTGATCTGTGCATATGACTTTGTTATGGTGCTGTGTGAATGCCATGCTTTTCTCTGTTCAAACTCTTGTAAATAGACTTCAACAGGAAATTGTTTTTTTTTTTATGTTTTCCCTCTGCTTTTCAGTCTTTTGTAGCCTAAGCTGTTTTCTGATTCGGTGGTTCCTTTCTCCTCATAGTTTAACACTACTTCTGCTGTATCTTTGTGTGTTGCAGAGGCTATGTGAATCTGTATCATAAAAAAAATGTGTGTAAATGCTGCTGATTCAAAGACAAATCTGAGGTGATATCCTGTCCAGATTATGTCCTCTTAATTTGAAATCAAGTATCTCACTTTCAGAATGCTACAACAGCTGTGGCAAAATTGACTTTTTAATTGTTACAGTGTAATTATATTTTAATTCTATCATTAGATTGAATCCAGTTTTCTGTGTTAAGACCTGTCCTGAAGTGTGGGGGTTCAATTTTATATAGTAATTGGCAAGTACAGACTTTGCAGACATTTGGTTTTACTTTTTTGTTGTTTTCAGAATAAATGTTTGCAAAAAGAAACTGATATGAACACTCCAAACAGTGTGCAGGAGTTGTCCAGTGCTACTCAACATTTAGCTTTGCACAGAGCAGTTCACGAAAAAAAATGGACAGGGCATGATTAAACCCCCCACAAAACAGGGTGTGTCATTCAGCCACGATAAATACGTGCCAGAATGTATAAAAAGTGACAAGTTATTTGCTCTGAAGTACTTTTGTGCTGCTTTTACCCTACATGGTTTCTTTTACATGTTACTTTTTTGGTTTTGTTTTCTGCTGGGTAACTGGTATGTTTGATTCTGGCCCAAGATAACTGCAGGGAAAATCAGGAGCGCCCTTCCTTCCAAGAAAAAAAAAAAGGGTTTACATGATACAAGAGGTTGACTGGAAAACACAGGAAAGATTTTCAGACTTCAAAGTACTGGGGTATTTGCTATGTTTTTGTTGTGTGGAAGACAATGAGAGGATCTTTGTCAGTATTTAAAATAAACTTTTACAATAAGATGTAACCTTTGTTTTTTATTAAAGTCAAGGGGTAAAGTGATGCGGAAAAAAAACCAAGGCCTTTAGATAGACCCCATTGAAAGGAAAAAATGGAGAAGAAACTTCTCATGGCCACTAGAGGGCAGCACAAGTATTTAAGGCAAGGAAAATTCTGGTTAGTTCTAGTCCATCAGTTAAATTAAATACATATCCTGTCAAATTAATATTAAATGTTTCTGTAATACTGGACTTACCATACATGCCATAATATGTAAAATAGTCTTACTTGGATGTATATTTTTAGGAATATTTTATATAAAAAGATCTGTATTTTAAAATGCTGAGTTATAACCATGATGTTTATACATGTTATAATAGTTCTTTAAAATACTTTTTGATTTGTTTTGGTAAATATGAACCTAATCAGGCACCGTTAGTGTCATGGAAAGACTAACGCTATTATCAATACACAAGGAATGATGGCGATTACCATTTTAATCCAATGACGTGCGATTTGTCACGAAATGGATTGTAATGTAATGACTGAAAATACATTAAAAGGCATTTAAAAATGTCGTTAAAACTGAGGTAGTTCCTTATTTTTCCGTATTAGTTCCGCATTTATTCCTACAAGAGGCTCCGCCCCTCGTCGCGCGGGGTTGGGTGTCTATAAAAGCAGGTCGCAGCGCATTCATTCGATCTCGATTCCTCTTGATCTCACGGAAATTGTAATGTAGGTCGAGCTTGTTCAAAAGAAAGACTAGCGTTGTATTGGCAGGTAGCTAGCAGCGAGTTTTAATTGGCTTATAATCTGAGCGTGATCTGTAGGTAGTCGCTTAAAACTTTCAAAATGTTTCCCAATCCGAGACAGATGTCACCGAGCGTTATCAGCTTTCTTCTTCAAAATGGAGTCGCGGACGGACTACACAGAGACTCCGCTCCTCAGATCCCCGTGGGCGCCTCGGTCGACTCTGAACACGGAAACGCGGCCTCCTGTAATTCTTCCAAACGTCCGAGTGAGCTGGGCTCGCTGAAAGGATATTTTAATAAAGGCTTCCACGAGCACAGCCGCAGCGACGACTTCGGCTCGTTACCGAGCACGCCGGAGGGGGAGCTGGACGGGGAGACGGAGGACGTGCTGGAGAACGACACGAGGCAACTTCTCGGCCGCTTTCTGAGCGACTTCACTGGACTGTCAAAGCCGCGGTGGACCGAGAACAAGGAGCTATCGACGATGAAGAGAGTGGTGGAGGACCTTTTGTCGAGACACAGCATCGCATATAATGGTAAGTGTTCCGCCATTGTTGTAGGGGGGGGGTTTCCGCGCATTCATTGCTCGCAGCCTTTAGCTGCCTCACCCACAAGGAAGTGTTGAGTCCGTGTTTATTCCGCACAAACTGACTCGGTGTTTGGAGCTGCGCTTTTGGCCAGCAGCCATTTTACCCTTCAACTTACAGGGAAATTATACATTTAAATATTCGTCTACTTGTTTAACCGGAAGTAAATAAGAGAGCGGGCTGATTTCTGACGTCTTGGACTAATTCATTCTTTCTTTTTTTTTTTCCCTGTAGGTATGGTTAAGAAACTGTCTCTGGATAAAACAAAGGATGACGTGACGTTTGTGAAAAAAGTAGCCCAAAGCCTTTTCGGAGATGGGACCACCAACTGGGGTCGTATCGCCAGCCTGGTGGCCTTCGGTGCTGTGGTGTCCCAGTACCTGAAGGACACTGGGAGGGAGAACTGTGTGGAGCTGGTTGGCCAGGAGATCTCAGAGTACCTGCTGACTGAACAGAAGGACTGGCTGGTCCAAAACAACTCCTGGGTAAGTTGTTTGTGCTCAGAAGGGCAAGGCTCTGCCAACCCACTTTGGTTACATAACTTACCCTCATTTAACAAAGAGTTAATAACCAGATTCTAATCTGACATTTTTCTCTTTTGTCCAGGACGGCTTTGTGGATTTCTTTCAAGTGACAAACCCAGAATCCTCGATCAGGAACACGCTGATGGCTGTAGCTGGGGTTGCTGGGATTGGAGCAACATTGGCCTTATTGATAAGGTGAACTTGTTGGACTCTGGGACTGGACTCCTGCTTTTCCATTGGATCCAAAATATTCTGAAATGACTCAAGGATTGTCCCATCAGTACTAACATTTTTTTTTTCTATTTTGGCAATCCTCATGTGCACATTTGTAAAAAAAAAAATGTACAGTTTTAGATGTGTACCATATATTTAATTTAAATAAATTTATTTTTTTAACAGATGTAAAATGTCTCTATACAGATTGAAATGGTTAAGGGCATCAGTTGACCAGATTTCTTTTTTTTTTAAATCCCCAATTGTGTTTACTCAATCTTGTATAGTTGTAAACTTTTTTGGCGGGGTGGGGATCCTGATGGCAAAAGGTGGCTTAAAACAGGAAGGGTGAACTGTATTTTCAGTGCTATGCAGGCATGAACCCCATGTCCTTACAGTCCATACTGGCACTTTTGGACTGATGAATCAAAGGAGTGCATTGCATGGATGTAGCTTCTCCACACAGCAACCATCTGCAGGGAGACGATTACGTGACGGGACATTTTGACATTCCACATCCTGGATGGTTTGAAGGGAGAGGGGGAAAATGCGAAGAACTGATAACAAGTCTAAAGTAGCTCATCAATGAAAACTTAAGTTCCTCATTTCGGAGGAGGAAAGGAAAAAAAGAAAAAACAGTGGCTTGAAGTTCAGGTTCACATGCAAGCTACAAACATGTTAAGAAGAATAAAAAAACTTGAATAATGTTTGACCTGAGTCTTTCTGGTAAAGTAATAACTCCCACAGGCTGGGGGATGGATTAAAGCTACGCTCAGTTCTTCCACAGTGATGATACAGACGTCGTAACACCCCCCACTCTGCACCACAACCCCCAAATAGTTCTGCTGTTTCCTCGAAATTTTGCTTGTGGTTTCGAGCGCAGTCACATTTTTCAAGTGAATTGTTTTCAGAGCTGGTGCAGCTGAGCTAGAGCTGTGCAGTTTCCTCTAGACTTACATAACCGACTGCTTCCTGCTAGATACTGCTGATTTCTTCTAAAACAAAGCATTTGATTGGCTAACGAGGACGTTTTTTTTTTTTTTACAGGGTATTTTTCCCCTCGTCCAAACTGCTTTTAGAGTTCAGTTTTGAAGTTATAAATGCATGCACCTGTTTAAAACCCTGTGTGTTTTGTGAGGCCGTTTAAAGCAGGGAAATCCTTGCTGATGTATAGCCTCACCCTTGTTTGTTCAGCTCTTGCTGTCGCCTGGGGGTTACAGAACAAACACAACTTTCATCGAGGTGTTTGGAGGAAATAGGGGGGGGGGGGGGATTTCCATGGTGATGATCCACAGCAGACCTCTGCTTCACTCCTCCAGCTAATGATGTGCACCGCTCAGTTACCTGGGAATTGCTGATTGTGCTGAACAGGATGTTGCACAATGGGGAGTTTGATGCTGAGGCAATCCCGCAGAGAAGTTTGCACCATAAGCAGCTTTGTAGGGCTGAATTTGCAAGTGCAAAGCTTGAGGTTAATCATTTTATTTGCGTTCTGCGTGCACGTACATTATTTCTCTTATCAAAATGTATGCCTTTAGTGCAGTTTAACGTGCAGGGCTGCTGTGCTAACGTTATAGGTTTAAACGCACCTGTGCGGTTTCTGCACCATCAAAGCAGCGTATTGACAAAACTGAAAGCTCTTTCATCAGTTGCATTCCTGTGCAGGGATGGTTTTAAGGAGCGGCTTCGAAACCATTGTCTTCAAACATTCTTCAGCACAAATAACCTGAAGTGAACTGGATAGCAGGGTGAAAACATGTCTCAGGACTAACTCTAAAAGTGCTGAAATGGCTTAAACTCGAACAAGAGGGGTTTTCTAACAGTCTGCTTTGGTGCACACGTCATGTGATAAAACTTTTAACTTTCCCCTAACAGTTAAAAGTTACAAAAGCGACTCACCCATGTCATAATTTCAACTCTTTTGGACAGCGGCTGTGAACCTTGAGCCTAAAGGAGCCGCCTTTCAGACAGAGGATTGGCTGAATGTGTTTCTGCTTCCCCATAGTGACAGACACACCCCCCTGGTTTAAAAAAAAAACGCACAAGTTTCTGGGAAATTGCTGACGTAGTACTTCTTTGAATGCGGAAGTCTGCGATAGGTGTCAAAGTCTCAAGCACCCTGAAACTTAAAGATAGGGTTGAGTTTGTGCAACTCTGCGTAAAAGTGAAACCGACTTTGAAAATGCACGTCTTCGCAGCACAATGTAAAATAATAAAATAATAAATAACACTCTGCTATTTCAGCTTTCTGGAGCTGCCTCACTGACTCTGAATTACAGCTTTGACTGGTTGCTTTGAGCTTGACGTGGAGCTTTTAATTAAACGGCGACCTGTAGGCTGTACTGTGTTGTTTTGAATATAAATGTAAAAATATATAAATGTATTGTGCAGAGCTTTCCAGTCAACAAAAAGACCCTTTGGAAGAAAATGTTTAAATATTAGTGTAAAAAAAACATGAACATTTTCAGTGCTTTAGCTTCCAGTGTTCAGTAGAAGTATGCATTCTAAGTTTTATCAGTCAGCACAGCCTCTACTTGCTTTATGTTCACTTGTGCTCATTGGGGCCCATTTACAGCTTTATCTATGCCAACCTAAATTTCTTAGAAATCTAGACGTCACGACCATCTGTGTGCACGCTACATGTGCATGTGAAATGCAGCAGCCGCATCCGTTATCGTCTGTAAAAAGTAGATCTGCAGCAGCAGCAGCAGCATTTCCTGTTTGTTTTCTAATAACTACTTCTGCTTATATATGTTCTTGTTTCTGCTTTGCCTCAAAACCAGGATGATGCATTTAAATAAAATGTTATGATGCACAAAATCAAACAATTAATGGGATGGTTTGCCCTGCAGATGATATAGTGCACAATATAGATTGTTTTCTTTAGCATAAAATAACCTCGTAGACAGAAATTAGGAATTAAAACCCAAAGGTTTTCCTTAATTATGCCGAATGGTGCAGTTTGAAAGCGTTTACTCCAATAGTTTTCCAAATATATTCATGTATAATTCTGAAATGTAGGTACGCACCAAATCTAAACAAAGCACTTTTTATTTATGCAGCAAATCTGTCCATAAATCCATACCAAAACGTCAGAATTGTTGAACCGTTTGTCCCTAAACAGCTTTTTCATAGACATGAAGACTGTTGACATGTTAGCAGTCACTATTTCAAAGGTAAACAACCCCATGCTGACAAAATCAGAGGTGTCAAAAGTATTCACATTCATTACTTAAGTAGAAGTATAGATACTAGGTTTGAAAAACACTTTTTTTTGGAAGTACAAGTATCAATTCAAGCTTTTTACTCAAGTAAAAAAATAAAAAAAAATAAGTCAAAGTTAAATAGAAATGAAATACTTTTTGCATTTTTAAAAAGTAAGGAGTAGAAAGTACAGATAATTGAATTAAAATGTAAGGAGTAGAAGTAAAAAGTAGGCTGAAAAATAATTACTTCACTAAAGTATAAATAACCAAAATCACTACTTAAGTAAAGTAACTAATTATTTGTACTTAGTTATTTGACACCTCTGAGGACAATGCACATTAACCAATATGCTATGAACAAAGATACATGTATATAAACAGTAAAACAATAAATATATTTCAATTTTTTTTACCAGCATTACTGACATTGCATTAAGTACCTATTATAATTTCTTACCAATTTGATTTTGGCTGTTTGTAATTAACATTTTCAGGTTAATACATTATATAACTGCTCAAAAAATACAGAAAGATTGACTAAGTTCTTTTTAATTTAAGCATTGCAGCCTAACATTGCCGTCAATCTTTTTGTCCCGACGTTACAATTTTTATTTTTATTGCCTTTATGTAAGTCTTGTTGGACAATGAGGTTCATTGATGAGGTATGAACTGTAAGACAAAAGCATTGAAGCGAAGTTTAAAAATACTTTTGAGATCAGAGGTCAAATGGCTCTCGTTTATCTGCGGCTCAGTCTGAACTCTCGAACATTAAGCCTTACTTGGTGAGCTGATACTCACGTCAGATCAAATTCTCCCCACTGGGTGATGTGTCACGTCCAGCTCAGGACAAGTCATAACGTCTTTTGAAACTTTATTCTTTGACTGATGACTATAGGGCGCCATTAACAGGTTGCTCATCCAGGTTGGCAGTTGTGACGTGTTTGTTTGACCTCTATACCTTTAGAAGAGCTTGCATGTGATGACCTCGTGGGATCTTTGATCTTTGTGTGTCTGAACTCAGGTTTTATTGATGGGTTAAACACTGAAGCTGGAGTCGACGCTTTGTTGCATCAAGGAGCTTGGCATGTCTTGTTTAAGCTGTTTGTGATGTTAAAAATAGGTTCTTTATCAGTGCTGGTGTACAAAGCTATGCAAAATACAACAATCGGCATGCTGATGGCCCTCATCATGGAGAAGTTTGAATAGGCTTTGCTCACTCATGTTTGGAGTTTTTGATGAGTGTCTTTCTAGACTTGAACTGTACAGAGAGTAGAAGTAAACCCTAATGTTGTTGGTGCAAGGTATTTAAGTGGGTAGGAGTTACTGGGTGTAAAAAGAGAAGTAGTGTTTTTTGCTTTTCCCACACAGCTCAGCATGATGGATCCTGGTGAGCAGAAGGAGCAATTTTATCCAACACCAGTCATGCCAGCTGACCCAGGGAGTGGCCAATGGTGCCCCTCTCTGGGATCCCTCTCGCTGTCTTTGGCGCTGGTCTCCCTTATGTCGGCTTCGGGCTTTATGGGTCAGGTCTGTGGTCCTCCACAGTCACTTTGAAACATTCCATTGGAGAGATCTTGTACAACCCCTGGCAAAAAGTATGGAATCACCAGTCTTGGATGAGCACTCATTCAGACATTTCATTCTGTAAAACAAACTCGGATCAAAAACTTGATACAATAATAAGGTCATCCCAAAGTGCAACTTGTTGACTTTCAGGAACACTCAAAGAAYTGAAGAGAAAACATTGTGGAAGTCAGTGAATGTTACTTTTTATTGCCCAAGCACAGAAAAAAAATACGGAATCACTCAATTCTGAGGAAAAAAGTATGGAATCACTCAATTCTGAGGAAAAAAGTATGGAATCACTCAATTCTGAGGAAAAAAGTATGGAATCACTCAAATTGGAGGTAGAAAATAAGGACACACCCAGTCATTTTCCTTTCCCTAAATGGACACCTTCCTCAGATTAGATCTGCTCGTTAGTCTGCAGTTAAAAACACCTGCAGTCATGACACCTTGGAGGGCTGCTGGACAAAGTGGAGTGGCAAGAACCATGGCTCCAACAAGAGAAATGTCTCTTGAAACAAAAGAGAGGATTGTGAAACTTCTTGAAGAACGTAACTCTTCACACATGGTTGCTAAAGATGTGGGCTGTTCACAGTCAGCTGTATCCAACATGTGGACCAAATACAAACAGCATGGAATGGTTGTTAAAGCCAAGTGTGCTGGTAGACTAAGAAAGACATCAAAGCATCAAGACAAACAACTTAAGGCCATTTGTCTTGAAAACCTAAAAAGGACAACGAAACAGATGAAGCATAAATGGGAGGAAGCTGGAGCCAATGTATGTGACCGAACCATAAGAAATSWCCTAWAGGAAATGGGATTTCAATCCAGGAAAGCTAAAAGAAAACCATCATTGACACCTAAACAAAAAAGAACAAGACTGCAATGGGCTAAGGAGAGGCAATCATGGACTGTGGATGACTGGATGAAAGTTATC